CAGTTATAAGAAATAATAGAGATCTTGGTGCCCTTTACCTAGTTTCTCCGAATGGTATGGATTAGCTCTTAATCCTTGCATCAATTATAAACTCCTTTAGATCATGGGCTATGTGTATTATGTTTTTTGTCTCCCCAATACTGACAAACATGGTAGGTGACTAATAAAAATTATCTGACTTATAATAGTAGGTACCAGGGTAATGTGTAATCTGATAAACAGTAGGGACCATGTTCATGACACATAAGAAGAAAGCAGATGAATTTCACAGTCCCTCTTTCTCTCAATTCTCTTTTTTGGCAGCTGGCTGGTATGGGTATCCAAATCCTTGACCTTGGTGTTACAACACCACACTCTAACCAGCCAGCCCCTCTTTCTCTCAATTCTTAGCAATGATGTAAAAGCCAGTAAGCCAAAAAATAAAGAGTGATAGTTCCTTTTAAGAGTGAAGGAGCCTGTATGAGCCCCCCAAATTTCAAAGAAGCTATGAAGAAAAGATCGATTAGCATGTGGATAAAAACAAGTTTTGTTTCATTAAATATTTGCTTTAGCTTGTATTTTTGCTTCCAAGTGATTAGCTTTCTCTCTCCCTCTCTCAAATAGAATAACAAGTCTAGTGGTTTAGGTTTTACAAGGCAAGGGAAGACAAAAGATTAATTTAAAATTTTCATTACTTATAATAATTTAGGAAAAACGCACTTTTAAGAGACCATGTAATAGCACATGGGGGTGGGGGTGGAGATGGGGACTCAAGTTAGAAAGTACCCATATGCTGGCAGCAACCAGAACTAAAAACAGGACATGTAAGTTCTTTTCCTTTGTGACCATCTGTATGTGAGAAAAAAGTTCTACAAGTTTCCCAACCAGTGAAGATCAATTATTAACACCCTGTCTGGAGGCAATCCAGGTGGAATTAACCACAGAGCACGAATGCTTAGCAGGTCTAACAGGCACTTGGGAATAAAATACATTATTCTGTATTACAAATAAAATACACTATTCTTATTAGTACTAAAAAAGAAGTACCCAAATGTGGCTTTAATATCATAAAGCTACAATTTTTAAAAAATTGCTTAGATTGTTTAAGTACTCATAACTACATGTTCCCCTAAAGCCTTTTTCTTGTTTTGGCCCATCAATTTGAGATTATTTTTCTCAGCTGTTAAAAGCAACCAACCATGTTTATACTACTACTCAACCGGATCTCTTCTTTCTTCTTTATTAGAAAGGACATTGTCTTAATAATACCTTTGGCTTGTTGTGAAGCTATATCCCCATCTTCAGTTCTTCTTGTTATGCCTTTCATAGAGGAGATGTGTTATCACCATGATCAGCTCATGCTGATCCTAATACATTGACTTAAGTGTTCCTAGAAATGTAATTCAGTACTGTAGTGGATTGAATTACGTCCCCCCAAAACTCCCTGAAGCTTGAATTGTATGTCCTAAGTGTTATGTATTAGAAACAGCCCCCACTGTGACTGTTAAGAAGGTGGGAAATCCTGTTCTGGTAATTGCAAGGTGGGGCCTTGAAGAGGTGATTAGATTTTGAGGTCCATGCCTAGTGAATGGATTAATAATAGTGGTCATGAGTGTGGTTCTGAGGGTTTTAAAAGGAGAGCACATGAGGAGCTATCTCTCTTTCTCTGCTCTGCCATTTTCTGCCACGTGATATTTTGAGGTCCATGCCTAGTGAATGGATTAATAATAGTGGTCATGAGTGTGGTTCTGAGGGCTTTAAAAGGAGAGCACATGAGGAGCTATCTCTCTTTCTCTGCTCTGCCATTTTCTGCCACGTGAGACTCCTAAAGAAAACCCTCACCAGATGGGTCCCCTGGACTTTGGATTTCCCAGCTTCTGAAACTTTAAGCAATAAATTTCATTTTCTTATAAATTACCCAGTTCCAGGTATTTTGTTATAAGTTAACAGAAATGGACTAATACATACACAATGGATTACTACTCAGCCAAAAAAAAAAAAAAAATGATATCCTATCATTTGCAGCATCATGGATGGAACTGGAAACCATCATGAAGTTTAGTCAGGCACAAAAAGACAAACACCACATGATATCACTCATATGAGGAATCTAAAAAAAAAAGTGGTTCTCATATGTCATAGAAGCAGAGTAGAATGGTTACCAGAGGTGGGGGACAGGAAGAGGAAGAGAAAAACTGATGGACTACTGGGTAAAAAACTATGCTATCTACCCTAAGTGAATCATTGAGTAAACTTCATTCATTTTTTAAATCTCTATTATAGCATTCTGACATATCAGTCATACACAACTTTGCTTCCATCCTTTGACTCTAAACTCTCTGAAGACATCCATATCTAAGTCATTTTCACAGTCCCCTCAGGCTAAACACTATGTTATGCCTACAGGAGCTGCTTAAATATTCTTCGTTGAACTGGTGGGGACTATATATATATATATATCAAGAACTCACGCATATGTAAATTTGATCCAAAACAGGACTGCAGAAGAACAGACATGAACAGGATGCCACCTTTGTAAATAATACTTTCGGCCAACATGAGGATAAAATATTACATTGGCTTTATGCTTTAATCCTCTCATGTAAAATACCTATAATGAACTGGCTAACACTTGAAATAAAATTCTGTTAAATAGAACTCTCATAAAAAATGCAATTTAATGGTAATGGCATGTGTAATAATGAATCTAAAATACTGAAATATCTTTGGGTGCCTTCTGATTCAAATAGGTATTATATAATCTTCCAGTATAATTTTTAGGTTAAATGTATTTTATTTGGTCATCTGTACAGGTGGTGTTGTAGCTCTTTTTAGCCCAATATTCACAAAACTACTATAATCTAACAAATTCTTACTGGAAGGTAATCTATATGTCTGTTCTAATAGAGAAACTGAGGCATTAGTTACTAAAGCACATGTATCAGGGGTACTTGGAAGAAAAGTTTCCTCATAAAATTTAAAGACTGAATATATTTTACTTTGCTTATACATTTCATATTCTGGATGGACCCTGTTTTTGTGTTTTAAATTTAGATGCAGGTAAATAATTACTGTGTACAGATTAACAAAGTGCTGGTTAAGTGAAATAGCCCTAAATTATAACCAAAAACAATATGCCGAAGCATAAAACATTTTTATAATAAATTAAAATTCACTATTATGCTTTCCAAATAAAAGTTTACCTATTACTCAATAAATGTTGCTTTCAGCATGTGAGTTTTCTTTAAGTGACAGTAGTAGCCCATTTAAAGAAAATTATTTCTCACATTCTACTCAGTTTGTGATTCATAGCCATGTGAAAATAGATTTTCTCACATTAAGCAAACTTATCACTATGCCATGGGACCATTAAATATCAGTGTTAACATTCTTTCCTTCTATACTTTACTTAGCACAGCGCTACTGACAGACTAGAGGGAAAAAGCATGAAAAGTAGAGGTTAAATAGCCTGGCCTTAGAGTTCTGTTACAGATAATGAAACACACATAGACAGTAACAGTAATACAATGCACATAACAAAATGGAATGGGGTGAAAATGTAATGCACAGCCTCTATTTCCTCACCCCTTTGTATCAGAACTCTTTTCTATTTGGGCATGGGGGGAAGGTGGTTGGTTCAGAAGAAAAAGGTTTTTTAGTCCTTCTAGTTTGGTAGAGAGAGCTTGATAAGAGAAGTCTACCGAGAGGGGCAGACACATGTTCTAGTTCCCCAGGCACCACCTGACCTTGTGGAGCTGGACACCTCCTCCATGGGAAGGGGAAAAGTGAGATGAGAGCCAGACCTGCTGCTGCCAGCTGTGCCAGAAGAACAAAAATGTGTCAAGATTCTTTCACTACAAGCATTTTGTGGGCCCATAATGATCCATGAACCCCAAAGCACATGTATGCCCTTCCTCTAACTAGAAATACTGGCTTAAAATACTTCAATAATCAGTCTTATAAAAAGCTATTTGTACGACAAAATAAAAATGTTTTAAGCAGCATAGTGAGATTAGAGGGGTATGTTCTCAAGAATAAAAGCAATTACAAGTGAATAGTCATTAAAAATAACACTAACCATTATATTAAACTAAAGAGTCAGAAAAAAACACAATTCACAGAAGTCAAAGAAAAAAGATAACCATTAAATTATGGTAAAAGTTTGTTGTTTTTTAAAGCATCTATGAACTATTACTATACAAAAGTTCTTCAGTAATGTTGCCAAGCATACAAGCTGAAGATTAGGGTATTGAAGTAAAGGCAAAAATAATTTTAGCATGCATACCACTGAAAATGTTTAGGTAATATAGCATATACTGCAGTAACATTAAATATCTTACAAACTTTAAATAAAAACACATATTCTAACTACTATAGTATCTATTTGAGTATAACCTCTCTTCAGTGTTTAACTCCAATAAGTTAGTAATTAAAAATCTTATCTGAAGCAATGAATTTTACTTTTTATATATAATCTAAAGATTATAATAAACAGATTAAAATTCAAACAAATCATATTTTAATTTATTTATTAAAGAGTCTAACTAACTGTACTTAATGAACTCACAGAAGTATGAGTGACAATCTGCCTATTTTAATTCTCCCCAGAGAACATTAGCAACATACCTCTAACAAGTATACTACTACCTCTTCGGAAGTTAAAAGGAAAGTAATCAGTAAACTGCCTGCACAATTCTTAATTATAGAGAGCTAATAATGACTACCTTTCAAAAGTTATACTTACTCATCAACGTCTCTACTGAAATTTTTTTTAAAGGGGGGGAAATCAAAATAAAACCAAAATAAATTAATTCTACAATATGTTAGTAGCATTGGCATAAAATAAAAAAGGAAAAAAGCTGGATGGATGGAGAGTAATACCACCAACAAAACTGAGTGCATTGTTACCTGTGGATTTCATTTCTTGGATTAGTACAAATTAAGTGAAAACTAAGTTTTGTTACCAAGTTGAAATGTTGACAGAAATGTTCAACTCTTAAAGATAACTCCTTAAAACCAACCTGGCTATCTCTTCTCGATGAGCAGTCCAATCTCGGATGTAGTCTTCCTGTTCTTTAATCCGGTGCTTGAACGAAGAACTAGTAGGCATGGCTGATCCGGCACTCTGCAAGCGAGTGGTTTTCAGGGCTGGAGAAGTACGTAGACGGGTATGTTTAGGGGAATTACGGTTTGATCCAAATTCATCTTCTGAGGTGGAAGCATAATCAGTAGGAAAGCGCCTCCATCTTGAATTTACTAAATTAGTTTAATTATTAAAAAAAGAATTATTATGTTATCATTTAAAGCAGATAAAAATCATGACTTCAAAAACACCATGAGAACACACACAGCACAATTTTCAATAACTGACATACACATACCTCACAAAAACCATAAATCTACTACTCCTTAAAGATAGAAACATTACACTTCAGTGAATTAAACAATGAATAATTAAAAACAATCAAAGACCATGTTTTCTGTAGTGTAGTGAATAAACAGTCAGATGAAAAATTTCACTGATGATAAATAACTAAGCAAGCTCTATTCATAAATGTTTAACTTGGGTTCTTCTCAATTGCAAATATTTCTCATTGTAGTGAAGATATGGATTTTTAAGAAGATGACAGCAACACCATCAACAATAACAAAAATAAAAACAAGGGAAAAGATTTCCTCATGCCACATGGACTTTCAACACAGAGATGGTAAAAACCCTCTTTTCCCAACATACAAATGTGCATAATTCCTGGTATGGAAATTATGCCTTTATGGCAGAAAAAAAAAACATTACCTCTGTCATTCAACATCCTGTTATGCTATGGTTGGAAAAAATCTTTTTACACGGTAAAAAACACAACAAAGCATCTTCATTACAACTCTGCTGCTTTGACACTGAAAGCATATGTTGAAAATAGACAATGGCATAAAATCTACAAAGAGCAGAACTCTACAAGCTATTCTCACAACCACTGACATTTAAGGCACAGGAGATACTGTGAGTACAGGAGTCACATTAAAGAAAGTGGTAATCACTTTCTTATTTAATGTTAATAAAGACACTTAAAAATGGTATTGCTGACACATTTGAAAAATCAGAAGACAAATTAATGCAGACACTTTACTACTACTGTTAATATGAGAATCAAACATACACATAATTTATGAACCATAAACAGAAGTTAGAAAAAGGGAGATAATGGCTAATTCATGGCACACTTCACAAGGGCAGGAACCAAGTCTGTTTAATACACTATTGTACACCTAGCACTTAGCTGAGTGCCTGGCTAGCAAATGTTTAATACGTATTTTTGAATAAATGAATAAATTCCTGGATATAGACTATTTACTTTTCTCAAACCTAGTAAAAAGCATGAGATGTTTTTGGTGTTTTAAGTAACCAAACCTTAGCACTTCTATAAGTTCCAATTGCCATTAATACTGGAAGAATTCTGTCTCTTTCTCTCTCTCTCTCTCTCACTTTAACAGGAACTAATCCTAAACTGTGTAGACTGGCGAAGTCCAGAATAATTCCCACATCCTTCTCCACTACAACTGTACACCCTTCCTGTCTTTTCCTCCAAAAGCTACATTTTTGCTTGGGGCTTAAGGCTGCTGGTTTTAGATAAAACTGACATACACTGCCACCAGAGTTGGCTTAAGAGACAGAGAAATCTATAATCAGGAATATGCCATAAATTAGAGCCTACCCATTTGTCCTGATTCACACTCCTATTTGAAGCTCCTGAGGTTTGGAACTAGATTCATGGGTATGAGAGAATGAACATATGCAGAAATCTCCTGGCTCTCTGTAAAAGCATTTGCAAATATATATATATATTTATATAATAAAATTAAATAAAATTAAATTAAATGGTAATTAAAGATATCTTAAGGGATGCTTAAATATAATTTCTAATTTTAACACTGTAAAATCATTAATGTAGACAGTACTCTTTATAATGGTGGAAATTTACTCATTTCTAGACATATGAAAACTCCTATGAACTGAAGTGACCGAGACTTGAAAACAATTTTTTAAAAAGTTTAAGAACAAGAGTTTTAGAAAAAAAATTAGAAATATGGCAAACAAAATCAGAAATAGAGCAAACTTGGGGCCGGCCCGGTGGCACACTGGATAAGTGCGCCACTTGGGAAGCGCGGCGGCGCTCCCGCCCGAGGGTTCGGATCCCACATACAGACCGGTTCCCGCTCACTGGCTGAGCGAGGCGCGGGAGCAACACTGAGGGTTGCGATCCTGTTGCCGGTCCCCAGTCCGGTACGGGGGCATGGAAAAAGACAAAAGACAAAAGACAAAAAAAAAAAAAAAAAAAAAA